AAGGGTTTGGAAGTCATTAAGATGGCATATTCAACAAGTTACTTCTTAATGTAAGGAAAGAAAATGTTTATGTTGAGGAACATTGATATAGTTTGTCCACACTTGCAAACTCAGTAAGAAACTATAATAATACCACACCATTTGTGAACTCTCATGAAGTGTCGATACTGCTGATTACATTTTTGGACTTTTGTTTACTTGCATACTTAATTGTTTTAGTTCTTGTCTCTTAGGTCATTTTCAAGAGAATCACAGCTCACCATAACTCTGCATTCTGTCCTATTATCATGTTGAGAAAGTGGTAGTGAGCTATCTTCTTGAACCGCAACAGTCCACATGCTGTAGGTTGACCCGCTAAGACATTTAGTAAGGAATTCCAGGATGTTAACCCAGCATTCAAGAAAGTGAGCACTGCCTGTTATTCTAGGTTCAACACCCAACATTCATATTAAATTCTTCATTTCAGTCACTGTCAACCTCCTTCTGCTTTGAGGCTCTCCACATATCCACCAACTCTTGTATTTACCCAATAGCTTCCTCAATTATCCCCAGGCCCCAAGCCTACTGCATAGGTATTCCCAATATAATTATTTAATGCTTTCTCCACCCCAATCCCCATTGAAGCCAGGCTGGAAATTTCATCCAAAGAGCAACCTCCCACAGTACCCTTGCCATATCAGCTCCAACCTTTACATCTAGAGTTGACAACCTTCAGTGTCCCCTTTGCAACAAAGCGGCTCCAGTGGCTCCAATCCTCACACTTGGAGATCCTATTTATGCCAACACATCACTGTTTGCTGATAACCTGTCCAAGCCCCTAAGACTGAATGTGGCCCACTCCACGGATTGACTTGGGAAGGCAGCTCCGAGTGAGACAGGCCTGACTGATTTCTGCACAGCTCGCTAACCCCTAATGGTAATCCACAGACTGCTTGGATTTCATATGCAGGAGTGACTGTGGCCCAATTCCCAGAATTTAAGGATACAGTTCCTTGGACCCTGATCCCACCAAGTTCACGACTGACTGTGGCCAACGTGGTGGGTTGAGATCAGACGATGTCCTTGACTGACTGTAATTCAGCTTGACTGGACTAAGAAGTTCTGCCCATAATCTTTCAGACATGGCCAAATCCTTGAAGCACCTACAGCGTTTTTACCAAGCAAGTTGCTAGCATATGCAGGAGGTGTCACAATGGCGTAGTGCAGTGTTATGCAACAAATTATCCGTCCCCTGACCATTCAGTGCTAGCAAACATGACAAGCTTTACATCTGTACAGAACAGGGAACACAGAAATACTGTCAGACTATGAATTCTGAATAAAGAGCAAATGCACAAAAAAACAAGGCAAGGCAGAGAAGCTGTCAGTGTCCAAGTAAGTGCAATGTAAATGAGTACTAAGAATGCAAGCCAAGAGCCCTGAGGAGCATCCCATTCCAATATATAACATGGGCATGTGTATCTGCATGGAAAGCAGCCTGGCAATAACATTGCAATGTAAGGCCTCAGTGAGCTCCAAACTGCAATGTGCTCCAATGTACTAAAGTGCTGAATTGGATTGTAAGTTAGTACGAGATGTGCCATAACAATGTGGTAAAGCTGGTATTTAGCCAATGTCAACTTCCATTGAAGGAGGGTACAGATGGTCACTGCCTATGCAGCATACCCTGAGTTGTTGGACAATGCTGGCCAACATGGAGGCCTGGAGAAAAGTCCAGAGAGATGCAGCTACTAGGTAGTTAGCTCCAGCTTGTAAGCTGAGATCTGGCGCCATCTAATTTTCACTGATAGCTGGGAAAATAGCAACTAATGCCTAATAATGTTACTGCAGGCAAATAAGGCTCTCATCTAGCCATTAAAACCTTGAGGGGAAAATTGGACCTTTTTTTTAACATTGAGAATTTCATTATTTTCATTCTTGTTGTATTTTCCCCACTTTCTTCAACTATCCACAACATTCAGATGCTGAGAAATTCCACCCACAGTATTGGAGCTATTTTTCTTTCAAGCCTGTTACTAAAAAAATTTTGATAAAACAAGGTTGGCATAGGAACATGAACTGCATATGGATTTGAACTATTCATGTATTGTGACTGGCATTAAAGAAACAACCAATAAACCAAACCAGAGAAAAAGTGCCCAGAATTCGATACATTGTTCTGACACAATTGTCAAGCTTTGCTAACTGTTCAAAGCCCATCAGAACACTTAGATAAGCAGCAACATGGGCACAGAGCAAAATTAATTCTTCAAACTCCCAAGATGGTTTTCTCTCTTTTCCCAATGTACTACGTACTCAAGATCTACACAGGATGAAACTGCATAATTGGAACTGGGGAAAGAAACTGTAGATGTAAAAATATGTAAATATGCAAAGTGGTGAAGTTTCACTATTAAATTATATCAAAATGGGATTTGATAAGTATGGAACATATATCAAAGTAGATGGATTGGATAATATGCAAGGTAATAATCTCTAGATTACTACCTGGACCACAAGCAACAGGGTCAACAAGATTAAACAGGTAAATGCGTGTCTCAAATATTGGACGCTCCGATTGGAGCTCCTCTGCTCATCAGGTCTTATACCTCTTTTCCCCCTTTTTTCTCTCTTTTTCCCCTTTCTCATCTGATGCCCCCCGGGAGCGTGGAGTTGCGGAGTGAACGGGCCAAGTCTCACTGCAGTCCAGAGCAAGCGGACCAAGACTCACGGAAGACCAAGAGCGATCAGCGTGGCCTTGCACTCGGGGGCCTGCAGGCATGCCAAGTGAGACCCAGAACAGCGTGAGCAGTGAGCCCTGGAGCAGCACCGAGAAGAAGCCCCATAGCAGCAAATCCTGGACAGAGACTGGTGTGAGGGGACAATCCTTACCTTAGAACACTGTAATGTTAAGCCCTTAACATACCGCTTAGTATTTTCCTATTTTTATCTTATTTTCAACTACGTAATTAAACAATTACTTTTATCCCTCTGCTGTATCCAAGAATTGTACCTAGGTACTTGTACCTAAGATGTCACCATAAGAAGGCAGACATTGTAAAAGATTTTCATTGTACTCCTACAATGGGGTACACGTGACAATAAAAGGATAAAAGGAGAAATGGGTTCAAGTTCATGGGACATTGGCACCAGTACTGGGGAATGAGGGAGTTGTTCCAATGGTGCAGCTCCTCCTGAATTATGCCGGATCCACAGTCCTGGCGAATCGCATAACTAGGGCTGTGGATCGAGCTTTAAACTGAATAGCGAGGTGAGGGGTTAGTTCAGTTGCTTCTAAAATTATGGAAAAAGTCAAGAGTGGAGATGACTCAGCAGAGGTTATTAAAATTTCCAAGACAAGTAATAGAACAGAGAGCAGGGGAGGGTTCAGGAATCTAACTTCATGCAATAAGAGGCCAAATATGAGCAGGCCAGCAGTCAATGCAGGACTGAGTGTGTTGAACTTAAATGCATGCAGTATACGAAACAAGGTAAATGAGCTTATAGTGCAGACTGAAATTGGCAGGTACGATATTGCGACTATCACAGAGGTGTGGTTGCAAAGGGATCAGAGCCTGGAACTAAACATCCAAGGATATATGTTCTTTCAAAAGGACAGGCAGATCGGAAAGGGGACTCATTAGTAAGAAATGAAATTAGATCGTAAGCGAGAAGTGATATAGAGTCAGAAGACACAGGACCTGTGAGGGTACAGTTAAGTTCAACATATCAGTTTAGATGGCAGTTAGAAAAGCAAATGCAACATCATCATTCACTTCAAGATGGTTAGAATAAAACAACAGGCATGTATTGCCAAAGTTGTATAAGGCTCTGGTCAGACCACGTTTGGAATATTGTGAGCAGTTTTGGGCTCCATATCTAGGGAAGGATGTGCTGAAGGTGGAGGAGTCCAGAGGATGTTTACAATAATGATCCTGGAGATGAAGGGCTTGCCATTTGAGGAGTGATTAAGGACTCTGGGTCCGTACTCAATCCAGTTTAGAAGGATGAGGGGGCATCTGATTGAAGCTTACAGAATACTGACAGGCTTGAAGAGTGTGGATGTGGAGAAGATACTTCTACTGGTAGGAGAAACTAGGACCCAAGGGCACAGTCTCAGAGTGAAGGGACGACTCTCTAAAACTGAGATGAGGAGGAATTTTTTCAGCCAGAGGGTGGGTGAATCTGTGGAACTCAATGCCACAAAAGGCTGTGGAGGACAAGTCATTGAGGGCATTTAAAATAGAGATATGTAGGTTCTTGATTGAAAGGGGATAAAGGGTTACAGGGAGAAGGCAGGAGAATGGAGTTCATAAACACATCAGCCATGATAGAATGGTGGAACAGACTTGATGGGCTGAATAGCCCAATTCTGCTCCTATATCTTACGGTCTTATGCTCTTATTTCAAGAAGCAAAAATTTAATCTCAAGAATGTATATGTTGTACTAATATGAACTCCAAATAGAACTATTAGCCCAAGAAGCTCTTTAATGTAAATCTGAGCAGTAAATAACTTGTGAGCTAAATTAATCTTTTATAAAAGTTGTTGCATTTTGGCACTATAATGAAATATGATTAAGAGATAACTCTTGAAATTTAATGCAAAGGTTTGGGACATGGTTCAAAGATATAGAGTCATAACTCAAAGTTTCCAATATGAAGTGTGCTGTCAAGGGAAAGCACCAAAGCCAAAGTCAAGCTTCATACCGTTTGCTCGTACAGGGGCTAACAGTAATGTTTTTGTTCAGCCCCTTTTGGTTGGAAAGCTGTGTATTGAATAAAGATTAATTTAGATATAAGGAAAAAGTCATATTTATTTTATAACATGCAGATTTTTAAAAAAAGATCAGTTTTACAGAAATGTGAGGAAAAGAAAAGCATATTTTGAAAATGGGAGACTCAGTGCCATCAAATAAAAATTGTACGCTACTGTTCAGTTTTAAATATCCAAGTACAATAAATAAGGCTAAAACAATGTTAATTTGACATTTCCCAATTGATTGATGTGTTACATACTTACTAATATTTTTCCAGAGCATCGCTTAGGTAATTCCAGATCTTCAGTTTATTGTCAGGTATGATCTTTGCCATGGCATCCCAGTAAGCACTATCCTCAGAGCTATCCCTTTCCTTCACAGTGGTCACTTTGGGCTGTGATTTTTCCCTGAAAAAGTAATAACATCTTAGTGACAAATTCATCATCTTGCGTTCACATCTTGCACAAGTGAACATGATCAAGTTTAGTCATGAACATGAGCAAAGTGGTTAACTTCTCACTGCCTTCTGAAATAGTCTGTCAAGCCATTCAATTCGAGGTAGTTAGGTATAGTCAACAAATGCTGGCTTTGTCAGCTGTGCCCACATTCCATGAAAGAATAAAGAAAAAAGGTTGCAAAAATCACTGACAAGGATACTGAGAATGTGTGTCCTGCAGTCGGCATCACAGCGAGGCAGAGTGGAAAGTGTGTCCTCAGTCAGTGTCACAGCGAAGCAGACTGGGAATTCTGTCTCCCCGTCGCAGTGAGGAAGACTATGAGTGTGTCCTGCCATTACTGTCACAGTGAAGCAGACTGGGAATTGTGTCCTGTAGTATGTTCTTACATCACAGAAAGTCTAAGTTCATTGGCTGGTATTAGAAAGGGAGGATTTGAAGGCGGGAAGATTATACCAAACATCAGACGAAGACTTGACATAGACACTTGTTTATCTGGCAGTAGCAGAGACTGGAGAGAACATGTACCTGATGGGCAGCAGAGCAGCAAACCTTCACCAAATCCAGAGGCAGCTCCTGAGGTGACGTCAGGATTCAGAATGTGATGCTGGGCAAGAGGAAGCTGCTGACTGGGTGAGTAGCACTTATAATCTGCAAGGTCTTCAGTTTATCTCAGAGAACTGATTGTGAACTGATCTTAATGTGTAATATTCCTAACCACCAGCTTTTAAAATTCCAAGTAAAATTAACCCACGTTTATTTCTCTCCTGAAATTGGTGTCATCAGTCTATAGAATTGATTTTTAAAAAATACATTCATTAATAACTTATTTCAGAAATAGGATTACTGAGCCACACAGCCGTATAAAATGTGAAAGCTGTCTCAGTCTTGACCATCGCTGTCTTTGTGCTTTCTTTCTGCACCAAAATTTAGCACATCAGGTGGTACAGAAAAATTGGCCACTTGTATATGGTTTCAAAGGACTAGGTCCATAAAACTGAAGCCTGGCATAGATTATTGGTGCCAGGAAACAAAGGAGAAAAAAATAAGTGAGAAAATATCTTCAGGGACAACAAAGTGTTATAAAGCGAGTTATAGATTATAAAGGCTTGAAAAAAGTTACACACCTTGATTGCTGATTGTCTTCAAGGAAAAGTCTTAAAGTTTGGAGGATGTCATTAGGGTGAACAAGTTCTAAATGATGCTCGGCTCGCAGATCTGCACAAGCATGGGCCTGTTGCTCATCAGTTTCAGTTACACAAACTTCTTCCTCTTCTGCTGGTCCCATACCAGCTTGTTGCATCTCTACACGAGCCACAAATTCTTCTTGTACTTCTTTATCAAGTCTCTTTAACAATACCTCATTCTCCTAAAAGCAACCAATATACACATTATTGAATGGAGAAAGCCATTGCTGCTGATCCTGAAATGTCAACATTTCACCAAACAAAATTATATCCAATAAAAACAGAAATGCTGGACATACACAAATCAAAGCAAGGTACGGCAATAGTGGAAATCCGAAATAAAAGCTAAAAGTGCTGGAGAAACTCAGCATCTGTGAAGAGAGAAACAGATCAAACATCTATTTTGATTTGGATATAATGGATTGGATGGACTGTTTCAGAAATTATTGGAAATACTCAGCAAGTCTATGGGTTCTGGAGGGAAACAAAAGTAACATTGCAGATCGATGATGCTTCATCCATGTTTCTCTCTCCATCAAACCAGCATTTTAGATCTTTAATTCAAATTTCCATTAACTACAGTATTTATCTTCAATTTATCAAAACTGTATGCTACGAAATAGATACATGCTCCCAGGCTAACTATGAAATCACACAGGCAAGACTCAAAACCAGAAAAGAACTTCCCTGCAATCTATTTTTATGACAATGTGGCATAGCTGGGATTTTTTTTCTACTCTTTCATGCACGTGGGCATTGCTGACTGGGCCAGCATTTATTGCCCATCCCTAACTGCCCAGAGGACAACTATGAGTCAACTACATTGCTGCAAGGTGTCCAGTCATATGTGAGGCAGACCAGGCAAGGATAGCATATCTCATTCCACAAAGGCATCAAAACAACATGTGATGCCACCAACTTAGATTTAATCTAATTATCCCAATTCCTAAACACTCCCTTCATTCTGGGAAGCCACATGAATAAGTTAACTCTTTAATAAGGCAACAGCATACATCCCATAGACACCAAGAGCTCATGGTGGCATAATCCATTGTATAGAGTTTTTCCACTTCCAACTCTGGCTTCATTAAACAGTAGTAGGCTGCTCTTCGATTTTCAATTATTTTAGGTTTTTTTAAACTCAGCAGATATTTTCATTCATTTTATTTTTTTTTAAATTTCAATTCTCGAACTAAAAGTTCCTAAAACATACAAATCATAAAAGTATTTACAAGATTACACTTTAAAAATTATAGAACTAGTTTAATTTTAAGGTCCAGTATTATAGACACAGTAAATACTGTAAAAATATTATTCCCTGGATTAGTAACTACAATGCAAGGATTAATCATGCGGGCTGTGCTGGAAAAATCAAATGTGGTACATTTAGTTCTGAGAGTCATAATGGGCTCAAAACATTAACTCAGGTCTTTCTTCACAGATGGTGCCAGACCTGCCAAGCTTCTCCAGCATTCCCTGTGTCTGTTATACATGTTATGCTTCAGCGCTGGTACCAGTAATATTTGTTCATGGCTGCACAAAAACGACTTGCACAATGGTGTTGACCACATAACATATTCACAAAGGAATATGTTCAGCAGTTATTGACATAAAGAAAGCAATGCATAACCTCTCATGTAGGTTTGATGGCTATAACTTCCTGATTTACTAAAATATTATACTTCAACTCTACCTCAATCTGTAATAGTTTGATTTCATTTCCACGTTATTGCCCATTTCTGCCCTACCTTCATTTCATTCCACCGCTGCAAAAATCTTCAATCACAACTTAGTAATGCCTCCAAATCACTTCATCTCAGTTTCATGTCTCTCAACCTGTATAAACTTCAACTCAACCAAAACTCTGACATCTACATACTTTGCTACACTGTTTCCCATTTCCTTATCACCCAACATTCATTTTCAAATTCGTCTACTGCCATGTGCTAATTTACATCTTTTAACTTCTCCACTCCCTTCAGTTTTTCCACTATGACATCTGACTCATTTTTCACTATCACCTGCCTCAACTTCTGATAATCTCTCATGAAGCATTCTGCCCCCAACACTTTACATTTTACATTCAAAAGCCTGCTTCATAGGATCATACAGTAAAGAAACAGGTCTTTCAACCCATCAAATTAGTACTGCCAAAAATTTACTACTACCTACACTCGTCCCAACTTCCCAAACTAGGCCTATAGCCTTGAATGTTATGACATTTCAAGTGCTCATCCAAGTACTTTTAAAAGACTTTGTCCTCCCAGGCAATGCAATCCAGATTTCCATCACCCTCTGGGTGAAAAGGTTTTTTTCCTCAAATACCCCTAAATCTCCTGATTTTCACTTTGAAATTTTGCCCCCTAGTTACTGACCCTTCAACTGAGGGGAACAGTTGCTTTCTATTCACCCTGTCCCATTCCCCTCAATTTTATACGCCTCTGTCAGGTCTACCCAAACCTTCTCCACTCTAAAGAAAACAATTCGAGCTTATCCAGCCTCTCTTCATAGCTGAAATGCTCCATCCCAGGCAACATCCTGATGAATCTCCTTTGCATCCCAACATACTGAACCTCAGTCAATGATATTTTACATCTCTTGCAGAAGGTAGCATACAATAAAAGGGAGCAATGCAGAGCAGGTAGCAACAAGGGCATCAGCAGCCCCCAAGTCTAAAAGAGGAGATGGTTCTCCATGTCTTGGGGCCAACTGTAACAAAGTCTTTGGCATCCAGCATTATTCAAAATATTCAGGAAACAGGTAAATTTCTACCTTTTAATCCTTCCGAATTTGCAGCTCCTTTCATCATGCTATTGGGAATGAAGAGCGAGATTCAGGTGTTTCACTATGATTCCCTTTGTTCCCACCCAACCTCACTCCCTTCAGCTCAATCTTCCCCTTTCTGATGTCCTGCTTCTAGACACACCTGCTCCTGTCCAGCCAAGGGAATCCAAGAGGAGCAGACAGCAACAGTAAAGCCATTATGAAGAGGCCCCATCATTTAAGTTTATAATCACAATCACCAGTGTAGATGCTGACACAGCACATACTTGAAAGGTTAGTGTAGAGTTGGGTTCAGGATAAGGTGAGTCATCTGAAGACACACGAGCGGTAAAGGATGTATGATGGATCAGTCCACAGTAGGAGAGGTAGGAGACAGGATACTACACATTTCTTAGATGAGGACTTCAATGGGAATGGCATAAAGGAGAACACATATGCGGTATGCACATGAACCTGGCTGTCCTGTGACAGCCTCCTATCAATGCCAAGGAGCAAGCAAGAGTCTGGTTTTGATTTGGTAGAACACTTTGCAGGACTTGCCCTCTCTGCAGTTTCTGTTCCATCCTGTTATCCTACAGACCCACGAGTCCTGTAACTGTCTTTACAATCTCTACCAGATATTTTGCAATAGTAGTTACTCAAAATTTCCTTACCTGCAATTTGGACATCTGGTCCTTTTAATAAGCCTTTTGCTACTGAATACTTAATCTTAATTAGGTGGCAAGCAAACTCCCCCTATGGACTTGCAAGTTTCAAATTTGGCACTTGGGCACCCTGCAAACAGTAGGGATGTGTAACATGATAAAAGGGCAAGTTCAGAAGCTAATCGCACATGCAGATCAAGGATTAATGCCTACCACTTCCATGATTAACACAACTCAGGGTCACTTTCTGCCCGTCCTAAATTTTTTATTCACTTGTGCGAGGTGGCCATCACTGGCTGGGCCAGCACTTATTGCTTGTCCCTGGTTGCCCTTGAGAAGGTTGTGGTGAGCTGCCTTCTTGAACTGGTGCAATCCACTTGCTGTAGGTTGACCCACAATGCCCTACTTAAGATGGTATGCTGTATGTGCCGGCAGCATGGCATATATTTGTAGGAGAGTGATCAGCTCCCAAAGCACTGTCTACAATGAAGCTATGGGTCTAAATGCAATGCCAGGAGAGCTCCCCACATACTCTGATTATTTACACCCTTCCATGACTAAAAATATGGACAGTCTATCAGCAGAGAGAGCCTGGTGCACATGCTCTCTCAACATTCAATAAAAAGCTCACAAAGGAGAAAATTTATTCTCCAAATTGCAACTCACAAAGACTTTACAAAGAAAGGAAAAAAAAAAAAGACACGCACTTTTATAGTATTCGAAGTTGGGTAGAGTACTTGTGGTTTGGAAGGCAGGACATCAAAATTTGGTGTTTGTAAAATACTGATGTTGTAAAATGATAAAGGAGGGGAAAGGCAGTGCGTGGTCCCTTCAAAAGATGATGTGCTTTTTCTAGGCTCGGAGAAAAAAAAAATGTCTGTGGTCAGCCTGTGGGGTTGCAGGTGCACAGAGCATTTGAATTATAACATTTTATTCAAAGGTTGCACAGTTAGCAATCCAAGCCACAGTTTCGTTTTGTTATGAAGACAAGTTTGAATTTAGCAATTAATGTAAACCAGGTACTTAGACACTAAAAACCAAGTAAATTTAAATCTGATGGTTTCGACAACACAGGACCAATTTGATTGTAAGAAATTGATATGTCATCAAGGGTATAAAAGATAGGGACAGTTGCAAAATCAGCAGAGAATGAACTGCCATCTGCTAAGAGAGCAGCTCTCTCAGCTCTTAGTAAAAGCATCATCTTAATGAATGTACCGCAGCACTCAGTTAATATTCCTGACAAAAGAATTCGACAAAGAAGGTATTTCTAACAGAAGATTTAACGGAGAAAGCACATAACATTAAGGAAGACGTTACCTAGTTGTAATTTTGAAAGACTAAGTTCCTTTTTTCTTTATTTTGGTTGATATAAGTGGTACTTGCATTTATTGGAACAGCATACCATTAGAATCTTGTTTTATTCAGGAATAGTTAGTAGTGAGAGGGGAATTGTTCAGTTTGTTAATAGTTCAGTTAATTTATTCACTGTTAGACTTAAATAAATAAATTGTTGATTATAGAGTGAATGTCAGGAGTTTATTTCATTTAACCATTCCTTTATAACAGATTGGGGGTGAGAGGCAGGTTATAAATTCACACTTCTTTTAACAGATTATAGGGCGAGGCAAGCCTCTCTGGGTGTTTTGGTTTTAGTTTTAGTTATCAGAGGGGAGGTCAACCTCCGCATTATAACGTACAGTCCTTCAATTTCCCACAGTGTTTTACAATCAAGTATAGTCGGTTCTGATATAACACAATAGTTCCATTCTTGTGCGATTTTGCATTATAAGAAAATCACACAACAGCTGCGTCATTTCAACTAATGAGACTGGAATAGCATTATAGCCAATACAGGTAAGGAGAGTTGTGTTCTACAAATAGCGGTCGAAATTCTTCAATTGCGTTAAAGCCAATTCGTGTTGAAGAAATATGCGTTCTAGCAGAACCGACTATAAACTAATTGAGTGAAGAAAATGGTTGCATCTTTCACAACTTCAGGATATCCAAAGCACTTTTACAGCCAATAATGTACTTTTGAAGTGAAGTCACTGTTGCAATGTAGGCAACAGTTCTAATTCGGGCACATTAGGGGTATAATATAAAGATCCGCTCTAGACCAATCTATCAATTTCATGGGGGCAGGCAAGGCCTAGACGTGCCTAACACCACCATAATTAACACAAACTCAGGGTCACTTCCTGCTCATCCCCTTTTTTTATTCACTCATGGGATGGGTGTTGCTGGCTGGCCAGCATCTTTATTCCCATCCTCAGAACCAGTTCTAAGGAAGGGCTACTCAACCTGAAACATTAACTCTGATTTCTCTCCGCAGATGCTGCCAGACCTACTGAGTTTTTCCAGCAATTTTCATTTTTTGTTTCTGATTTACAGCATCTGCAGTTCTTTCGGTTTTCATTTTTTATTCCTATCCGTTGTTACCCTTGAGAAGGTTCAAGCTGCCTTTTTGAACCAATGCAGCCCACCTACTGTAGGTTGACCCACAATGCCATTAGGGAGGGAATTCCAAGATTTTGAGCCAGCAACAGTGAAGGAACGGCGGTATATTTCCAAGTCAGGATGGTGAGTAGTTTGGAGAACTTGCATGTTCCCATGTATCTACTGTCATTGTCCTTTTGGATTGAAGTGGTCATGGGTTTGGAAGATGCTGTCTAAGGATCTTTGGTGAATTTCTGCAGTGTATCTTGTAATTGTAGGTAACTTTGAGATCTTACAAACAGCAAGTGAACACCTGGCGATCTTTTTGGTGTAGATTGAAGGATAAATACTGGCAAGGACATCAAGAGAACTCCCTTGGTCTTCATTCAATTGTAACATGGTATCTTTTAAGTTCACAGACATCTTGGTTTAAATCTCATTCAAAAGATGGTACCTGTCGCACTGTAGCAATTTCTCAGGGCCACACAGCAACATTACTAAGTCTCTGGAGTGAATCGTGATTTCACAACCTTCTAATTAGGAGACAAAATTGTTATTGCTGAGCCAAGGATACACACCTCGCTTCAAAGAAAATAGAGTTGGAAATATAGGCCAGGACTAGTAGTAAAAGCACTCAGGTAAGGATACAAGTTCTTGCCCCACTGGTTCAGGGTAGAACTCAAAGATTTGGCAAATATTCATTTACATTTAGATGGACAACTGTCAAACTTTTTGTGCCAATTTTCCAACTTAATTTAAAATCATATTTACTTAGAAGTGAAGCAACAATAGCTTCCATTACTATATTAAACCAGTTTAAAATATATGCATAATGTACATCAGTTCACAAAGTCAACAAACTTGCAGTTGATTGCACCATCCATCCAACCAACACTTTTCCAAATGAACTTAAATTTCTGTAACAGGAGACATCTTGACATTGCCATTCAAACCCAAGTTTAAAAGGCTTAGATTATTCTAAAATTCTAAATTAAATTGCTCAGCAATGAAATACCAATGCATCTCTTTCAAAAAACAATGATGACTATAAGTCAAAAGCAGACTTCAATTTGTTTCTGAAGTCAATGTGTCTTACCTTCTCTAATTCAAGGTTAGAAGACTTACAATGCTTGATGAAGAACTCTGTCAACTTGATGATATCATCTTCATTCTCTATTCCTAAAGCCTACATAAAACAAGAAATTAACTAGAATTTCTTTTTCAATTTTACAAATAGATATGTCCCACAGTAGATGCACCTTCCTCTGAGGAAAGAATTTGTGTAGTCTTTGTTAGAATTACTGTTAGGTAGCCTTTACAGAGCACGATTTACATTTATAAAGGTCTAAGTCACTCAGGCGTTCATTTCTTTCTCTACCCAGATCATTTTCTTCATGTATTATAATACATGTGAAGACCAAAGTCATAGTGTTGTATTAACTGTGGATCTCGACTTGATGAAAATCTTAGAATTTTGGTCAGACAGTTGTGAAAACTATAGCTGGGAATAGAAATAAAGCTTTTTTTCATGGTAATTCACAAATTTATTAATTATTCATGAATTTCGACTGCACATCATGGCCTACAACAGCATTTAATCTTTGCCATTAATAACATTCCTGTAGGCAAATAGTAAACGTTAAATTACATAAATAAGTGACATCTCACCTACTCAAATGGAACTTTTTTTGGGATTTAATACTGCGTTATGAAATACTTTGAAAAGGCTCTTTTTATTTAAATGGTCAGTAGTGTGTCTCAGTGTTACTGGATATTTTAATATACAGTACTTGCTATCTATTTAAAACTCTCAAATACCAACTGGAGTCTACAGTTTAGTATGTCTTTTTAATTTATGCAAGAAAAGGACCCAAAAATATACCAATGTAAAAATTCCTATCAGTACTCTTGGAACGATTGTTTATACGTTTCACAATGGGAACCTAAGAATTTATGCATGTTGTAGAGCTTTTGCAGCCCAGTAATGAAACAATTAACTTGCTTTGTACTGCTGTAATCTCAGTGATCAATCATGTCACAGCAAATTCAGCACATGGTGCCAGTTTACTACCAGGTTGTTTGATGAGACAAGAGAACAAAAACTTATATAGCACAGAAGATGGTCATTTGCCCATTAGGCCCTGTTCATAGAATCATCATAGATCATAGAATCCCTACAGTGTGGAAACAGGCCCTTCAGCCCAACCAGTCCACACCGAACCTCAAAGCATCCCACCCAGACCCATTCTCCCTATAAACCACCTAATCTATACGTCCCTGAACACTATGGGCAATTTACCACGGCCAATCCACCTAGCCTGCACATCTTCGGACTGTGGGAGGAAACTGGAGCACCTGGAGGAAACCCACGCAGACACAGGGAGAATGTACAAACTCCACACAGACAGTCGCCTGAGGGTGGAATCGAACCCGGGTCCTTGCTGTGAGGCAGCAGTGCTAACCACTGAGCCACCATGCCGCCATTTTTTGAAAATCAATACAATTAATCTTTAAAGCCCTCCCAATTTTATTCTCTTCAATTATTTGTCAAATTATATTTTGAAAACCATTATTTAATTTCTATAATTCTTTCAGGCACTGCACTCTAGTACATAACAGCTCATTGAATAAAAATGTTTCGTCTCTCAACTCTTCTTATTTTACCTTAAATCTGTGCCCCTGGTTGCTCAACAGTTATGCAACTGGAAATAGTTTCTCCCGATTTACTCCATTAAATCACAGTGACTGTGCAAACATCTCATTTTAACATTTCTGCTTGAAGAATGACCCTAATAGTTTCAGTTTACGTAACTGGCCATTCATCCCAACTGCCAATCTAGCAAATATCCTTTATACGCCTTCTAAGAGCTTGATATGCTTCCTAAAGTATGAAAGCCAGAACTGACCACAGTTCTCCAACTGGAGCCAAACCAGGTTTAGTATAACTCTCTTTTTAATTTTGTTTTTATTTATAAAGTTAAGGATCTTACACACTTCTGAAACAATTTGCTCAGTGTGTCCTGTTGCCTTTAAGGATTCATACATCCCAGGTTCCCTCTGTTTCTGCACCCGCTTGTTAGCACTGCCTGTCCCGATTTTTCTGAACAAAATTAATTAATCAAAGACAAATAACAACAGCCAAGATAGGCAGCAAATGGTTAGGGCATTAGATAGTAGTCAGGGATTGTTTCAATTAGCTCCATTTGTGACAAAGTGATATTAACACCATTGAAGAACTGTATGAGTGTTGTAATTGCAATTGTACCTGGCCATGTGGTTATTTTCCTTTTAAGTGCACATTTTATGCAGTCTCACCACTCTAATTAGAAGGCTTCTACTTCAAGATACTGATTGTATTTACACTATTAGCTTCAGTAAGTACCCAAAAAAGCTGTTTATACAAATCAAACACAAAATCTAAAGGCTACAAGAAAATATTCTCATGAAAATCTGTAGGTCTTACAGCGAAAATGGCATCCAGTTTTATTAGCGATTGTTCATCCTTCTTGAGGGGAATAAGAATTTTAAGAAGCTTGCTTTCAATCAGAAAACCCTGTCAAAAGAGGAAAATATTACTTTATAATCTAAATATTGCAATACAGACGGAAATTCTACGGAAATGAATATATCCCACAGGGAATTTACCCACAGTCTGGTGGCTGCTACAAACATGCAATGCATTTTCTTTTACCTCTTGAAGTAATGTACCAACAGACTGGTGCTTATAATTGAAAAATCCAACTTACCCTATCTTGAAAAAAGTTGTTTATCACCTATCACTGATTTTGGCATGCACTTTATATTCCAAAATGGGTACCATCAGGGAACAAACAGTGATCAAACTTTTATTCGTCTCCCAAATTGGTTTCATAGCTCAAATTTTGCTCAAACCAATGTGCATAATAACAAACAAAATCAGGAAGAATTTTCAAAAGTAGCTTCTTCAGATTAAAAAGATCCTCGACATATTCAACAGTGTTAACTCTCATTAAATTTTCATATTACTGAAAAATAAGGGTTAATAATTTTACTAACATCAAAATAAGATACGAGTTCACTACCTGAGTAACCCAATTTTAAGTAATTGAAAATTCAACTGCACAGTTCCATTTACTGGTTTCATTGGCTTAATCAGTAATCAGTTTAAGAGTTACTTTTATACAAGTTTTTAAATGTATCTCTCAGTGCTGTTTAGCCAGGAAAATGTAATTTTAACTTCCTTGAAGGTCCATTAACATAGACAAATAGCCAAGAAAAGATATAGTAATTAATTTGATCTGGGGCACGGATAGTATTGTGGGCATGGTCATCTTCCAGCACAATGTCTTTAGTCGCACGCCAAAGAGGGAAGCACATTTTGGACTGAACATAACCTGCACTGGAAATTCCTAAATCTTTCGCAATGGTTTGGCTGATTTTCAGAGAATCGCACTGGAAATATTGACACACAAAGTTCCATCCCATTGTACATATACGTATCACCTGTATGCAGAGGAATTTATTTTCTGTGCAATGCACACTGGAGCTTGATTACATAGTACAGGAGCACATTGAATTGGGTAATGTTAAGGACATTTTGTAGGTCAAACAGAGAGTCTTTGGCACAAATATATCTTATTAAATGAAATGCTGCTTGCAAGAACAAGAAAAATACTTACAGACTCATCACACAAGACTTCTAGCAATGTTTTGACAGTCGACAATGAGATATTTCCAGGTGTTCCACCACATAATTCCAATGCTTTCTCCTCACTAGCTGAATAACAAATGTTTTGGAAAAGAGTACTCCACAATGACTTATGGCCTGTTTCTGTTTCATCGTCCAAATCTCTTTCCTTTCTCTCTGCTAAAACGAGTTTAATCACTGTTAAAGTACACACTTTACCAACATCAAAATCTATTCAATTGGTGCATTGATGAAGTGCATTGGAGCACCAAGATACAAAACCAAAATAGTGAGATGCAGGATTGATACCATCTCATCATGATGATGATTTCCTGATACGAGGAAAACTATTTGAGGGACATGACCACTGGACTGAGACCTCCAGAAGAGAAAAGGACAGAAAAGCAGACAGAACAAAAATTATGCAGAAATTTGGAAGCAGGCTAGCCACACCAGCTGATTTTCAAGAGGGCAAATAAGGATGGGCAATAAAAGAGATCTTACCAGCAATGCTCACATCCCAAGAATGAATGAAAAGAATTATCACCAGTTTTCTCATAGTGGAATACTCCAAATCACACCTCGACTAGCAAAATTCATAATATGACATATGTAATAAATAAAACAAATTAAGATATTTTGTTTTAAGCAATTATCAACTAATCAATATATTTAAAATTATCTTGGCTATTTACAAATGACTAGTTACCATTTAAAGATTACTCAGTCCCATGCCCTCTTAGTTTCTTGAACAGCTCTTAAACACATTAAAGAATCTCACCTCCTAGAATAACTTCTTCCGCCAGCTCAGCAGCTGATTTTTTCTTCTTAGTCTTGCATACAATTGGTCCAACATTCTTCATAAAACAAAGATCTGGACTTGTCCAACTCAAGCCCAATTGTTGCTCATGAACTATTCGGTCAACATCGAGAGCCTTTCTGACTAGATCCTTGGTCTCTTTCTCATTCATTAACCAAACACCTTCAAATTTCTTTGCATCAATTACAGCAAAATGTCTGGTAAAAGAATAGATAAGGTACTAAACTTACCAACATTCTAATCCAACATTTATCTTTATTTTTCAAAAGTAAATATTAAAACAGCATAGACTGCATTTGTTAGCAGTCCAGGAGATGAATTTTTAAAAATGTCTTCCATTCTCTATTTTATTTGCAGTATTCATTTTATACTTGCATAGTTTTGGGTTCATATCTAAAATTAATGGACTTTCTTGTCTTAACATATCCCTACATGTTAGCATTTTATAATTTGGATCATTCTCAATTTTAAATCTGAATCAAAAACATTGCTGTAAAAACTCAGAAGGTCTGGCAGCATCTGTTGGGGAGAAAGCAGAGTTAACATTTCGAGTTCAGTGAATCTTCATCAGAATATGTGAATATCAGAATATTTAAGTGCTTAGCCAATGCAGTCTCCATGTACCCGAAAATTTAGTCACAAGGGGTTGCCCTCTGGCACTAGTGAGGATGGAATGAATTGTACACCACCATTTCCATCACCTCCAATAGAATGCCATGACCAGGCACATATTCCCCTCCCATCCCTTGTCTGCCTTCCGTAGAGACCGTTCCCCCAGGACACACTGGTCCATTCCTCTTCAATCTCCACATCCACATGGCACCTTCCCATGCAATCACTAGTGTAACACCTTCCCATTTACCTCCTCTCTCCTCAACATCCAAGGCCTTAGACACACCTTCAAACTGAAGCAGAGATTTACCTGCACTTCATTCTATCTAGTCTACTGTATTTGCTGTTCACAGTGTGGTGTCCTCTACATCAGGAAGACAAAACACATACGGGGTGACTGCTTTGTAGACCATCTACATTCTGTCAGCAAAAATAATCCAGAGCTCCCAGTTGCCTGCAACATTAACACATCCCTGGCCACATTTCTGCCACAGGCCTACTGCAGCATTTCAGTGAGCCTCAGCACAAGCTCGAAGAACAACATTTCATTTTCTCCTTAGGAAATCTGCAGCCTCTAGGTCTCAATGTTGAGTTCAATAACTTTACAGCCACCATTGCAAGTCACCATGGAGAGGAATATGAGAGGTGGGGGCATGAAATGTGAGATGTGACCAAGACAAGCTCCAGTGATGCTGCAGACTTGCATTGAGAGAAAAACATGTCCGGATAGCTCTTAAATATGGCACCAAGCCTTTCATTCCAAAAATCTCCAGGAGAAGCAAGAACACAGGGTGACAATGTAGAGAAATGAGATAATCATAGCAATTTTCAAAGAAGGACAATACCTATGAAGTGGAAATATATTTACAATACTAGCTAAAACAGAAGTGAGAGAGTGCAGGAGGTGACCAAAAGTTCAGTAGAAATGATTTTGGGGGAGTAGAAGCTGGGTCCCCTGTATGAGGAAGTTTGGACAGGGCAAAAGGAAGGTTGGGAAGAAACTAAAGAAAAATGTTCTGGGCAAAAGAAAAACAAAACCAACAGAGGTAGCTGAGCAAAGATCTCATATGTCAGAGATGTTAGAAAATGGGGCTGGAAGAATAAAGGAAAAAGAGTTTAAGGAAGTGATTTTTAAAAAGGGAATCTGAGATAATCTTTGCCTTTCAAGATTAGTCTAAAGTAGTGAACCATTTTGCCAACAGGGGCACAGCCTAGCTAAGCCTGACATGGTTAAACTTACTTTGGACAGCTAAGGTGGCTGTGTTTCAGACACGTGCAACCTTGAACCCGAGAAAGAAACAACAGGGATCATCCAAGAGAGAAAGTGAGAAAAAGTGAATATTTTACTGTGGGCAAGACCATTAAGAGATAATAACCACAAAGGAACTGAGAGGAACATAAAGCCAACAACTAGGAACTACAGAGTTTGAGTGTATGTTTATAAATGATGTGTGTTTTTCTTTCCAGAGACCAATGTGGTAGGCAGTGACATTAAATGTTAAGGGTACTTGGCTAGTTAAGAATAGGAATGCATACCAAGAGGTGCTCTTAGTGATAATATGCACAATAATACATTTTCAATTAGAATTCAAAAACCTCATTTTCTTCTGTAGGTCCTTATATAGTTCTACCGTCCGCTTGTATTGGTCACTTAGACTCTGATTCTCTTCACGATACATTTTCTCTTGTTTAGCCAATCTTCCCAACAACCTGTTCAGAATGTCATGTAACCTGTGAAGCAATTCATATGGGACACTTTTTTAGTCAAAGAGGTCATCTGAAAATTTTGCAATTACAAACCAATTGGACCATCAACTGCATGCCAGTAACCCTTTCTACCTCAGGGCCCTTCCCATCTCGAAGACCTGCAGATCAGACTTTGAACTGCTTGCAGCTCATGTTTATTACTTAACTGTTATTTGTATAATTTTGGCTCAGTGGCAAAACTCTGGCTTTGTGGTTTACTTTGGTGATTTTGTTCAGTCATTTCACACAAAGTAAAGCAATTTTCTTTGAAAACAGTACTTTGAAAACACTGCCCGTACCCAACTGAAATATCAAAGGACTGACATATATTGTGTATTTTTCTCTACAAATAGAAAATATAAGTTTTCTCAACATTTTCATGAAATACACGAATATTTCTACAAGATCTTTTCCTTCCCAACTTTAACTCATTGACCATCCAGAAAAAGAAATGAAACCTGTGGCTTCTAGATCTTCCTGGTCCATACAGCCAAATTGCCCTATAAAGCAGTTCATTCATCTTTACTACAAGGTAAGGAGTGACAGAGGGAGAGAAGTGAGAACTGACTAACTATAGCCTAGCTTGTATATTGCACAGTGTTACGGGCAGTGACACTTACTTTTGCTCCCTCAACCAGCAATACTGGGGAAAATAAATACAAGTATCAACTTGATCAGTGCGCCTGTTGAGTTCTGAAAGTGTAATTTAACAAAAGACTGCAATCATCCATCTAATTCCTTCTAATATTTCAGATAAACTAAGGTGGTCCATCACAATAGTTATAACAAGACAAGAAAAAGATTGCACAAATTTAACGAAACCATTATCTAAATGTGTTTTATTTTCCAAATCACACTGTTTCTCCTTGTGACCAAGTTGAAAATTAGGTGTCATTAACATAAGATGGTCAATATTAAGGCCAAAAGGATTCCAAGAGAACCATCTTTATTCAAGAGACAACAAGGTGCAGGGCTGGATGTACACAGCAGGCCAAGCAGCATCATAGGAGCGGAAAGGCTGACGTTTCGGGCCTAGACCCTTCATCAGAAAAGGGGGAGGGGAAGGGGGTTCTGAAATAAATAGGGAGAGAGTGGGAGGCGGATAGAAGATGGATAGAGGAGAGGATAGGTGGAGAGGAAACAAACAGGTCGAAGAGGCGGGGATGGAGCCAGTAAAGGTGAGTGTACGTGGGGAGTTAGG